GTGGGCAAGAACAGGGAAATTAGTATGACTGGTTGGGATGCATACTGTGAAACTCTCTGAGAATCAATGAAACTGTTATGTTAAATTAAAAAAAAAAAGAGCCAGGCAGAGTTGGAGTACGCCTTTAATCTCAGCACTCAGGAAGCAGAGGCGGACAGATCTCTGAGCTTGAGACCAGCCTTGTGTACAGACAAATGAGTTCCAGGACAGCCAGGGCTTCACAGCAAAACCCTGTCTTGAAAAAGAAAGGAGGGAAGAAAAGAAAGAAAGAAAGAAAGAAAGAAGGGAAGAAGGGAGGGAGGGAGGGAGGGAGGGAGGGAGGGAAGAAGGAAGAAGGAAGAATGCAGGTGGTATGAAAGGGGAATGGGGAGTCATTAGGCAGAAGAATTAAGTTGAGTCATGACTAGGAACACAAGGTAGAAGAGGAAGTATGGGGAATGATTACTTACATTAAAGACCTTTGAAAAAGTCATATGGAAGTCTAATAGTATAAAAGATTCCTAAAATATGCAGGCTGGCCTCAAACTCAGAGATTCCCGTGACTCTGCCCCCCTAGTGCTGGGGTATATATGGGTTTAAACGGAGGTACTCCATAATAGGAGGAGGAGATCAGTACCCCACCAAGACACCAAAGGCTGCTAAATATAAAGCCCATACCAGGGATAGTTTACCTCTTTGGGGATTGTTTATTAGGAGGGGTCCCATCGACCTCAAAACATTATAGGCTACTGCTGTTTTTGGTTACCCTCTGGAACTTAACAATAAGATCCTATCACTAAAAAGAACACATAGTCGAGTCATAGAACATGAAGAAAACAAGCTGGTACTAACCTGGAAGGTTCATCCCTACTGGCTAGCTTTCTCAGTGCTGGAAGATGCTATGGGTGCTTCTGGAAGAATAAGGTACTCATCAGTCTTATCCAACGTAAACCCTGCGAGCTATAATGACAACCGACCTGGCAAGATGTACTGCTGGTGCAATAGTGGCAGCAATACTATGAGAGTAAGCAACCACTGTTTAAAACTAGATTTAAGGCCTGCTACGTAAGATGAAACTCGTGTGTGGTACTCTTACTGAGATCAAGATGCTGTGTCTAGACAGGTCATAGGCTACTATTTTATTCTGCTAAATGGATACAGTTAGGGGACTTTTATCTTCTCCCTTTTCTGGGATCTGTGTTCACTAATATTTTTATAGCACCTTGATTTTTACCACTTCTAAAATGGAGATTATATTGGTTTTCTACTGCTCCTTAGCAAATAATCACAAATTCTGAAATGCAATGGAGTACTATGTATCTGCTCACAGAGCTATAGGTCTGAAGTCTGAGGATGTCATGGCTGATTTGCTGCTCAGGTCTCCCAGAGCTGACAGTGAACTTTGGTATCACTATCATCTTTGGTATCTCTTTCAAGTTCATATGGTTGTGGCCAACTCTTACTTCCTTGTGGTTATAGGGGTATGTGTTAGCCAGGAGCCATCCTCAGCTAGAGAAGGCCCAAACTCCTAACCACACGACTCGTTTAACCTTCAAAGCTATTAAAACAATCTTTCTCAGGTCTCATGCCCCTCAACTTTACAGCCCCTTTGTCAAGGAGTTGAGGGTCTTGTATGAGCTCTGATTAGGTTAGGCTAACTGAGGCACTCTCTCTTCTCTCTCTGTCTCTCTCTGTCTCTGTCTCTCTCTCTCTGTAGTGTGTGTGTGTATGTGTGTGTATAGTAAAGAGATTAAACCTATAGATGTTCGGCAAGTGTTCCTTAACACAGCTCCATTCCAGTCTGTTTTCAACTTTATGTTTGGGGCCAGGGTCTCACTGAGTTGTTTAGACTGGCCTAGACACTCTGCAAGCCTAGGCAGAAGTAGAAATTATGATTCTCCTGCCTCAGCCTCCCAAGTAACTGGCATTACAAGCCTACCACATTGGGCAAATCTTTTCTTAAATTCAATGGATTTTTAGAGTCTTGATTATATTTAAAAATCCCTCACCAGCGATGCCCTGGATCAGTATTTGATAGAATATCTGGGAAAAAGATATGTTTACTAGAAAATGAGAATTCTGGGGACTATTGAAACTCTGCCTACCACAGTTGAATAGCAAACCCTCGGAGCACTGTTCTCTGGATTAAGAGGTAGGTGTGCATCATGCTGGCCTAGTATTTCTTGCAGCAGGAATTAACAAATGGCATCTAGTGGCATTAATGTTTCTCTCTGCCTATACTTTAAAACTGTCTAGTGTTATAAGCTCGGTAAAAACCACAATAGAGTTGGTATCTTGTGAATACACAACAGAAAGCAGTGATTCTGGTTCCATAGTTAACAGACTCACAAAAATCCAGCATTTACTGCTTACTTAATGTTGATTTATTAGTTCAAATTATTTAAAACATTGCAATCAAACAACAATGACAAAAACATTCATGTCAGACTGCAAGCTTATCTGTAACAGCATAAAATGAAATGTGAGTCAATATCTCTCTCTCTCTCTCTCTCTCTCTCTCTCTCTCTCTCTCTCTCTCTCTCTCATGGTAAAAATGCATCACAGACTACAAGCCTTAAAAACTGGCATTTTTCAGAAACAATTGTTTTGTTTCAACCCTTGCTCTGAATATAAAATGAATACTTCAGATGCCCCAGTCTTGCAAAGACCTTTCTGCCTTTCTTGATTCAATAATTCCAGTCTAAAATAGGCAACATTATGCATTTTAGTGGCCCAGTCACAACAATGCGGTTGCTTATCACTGGCTGTGGGAAGAATGGCACCTAAGAGGTTAACCATGATATTTTGCAAATTGAAGCAAGAAGAGAACAAATCCATTAGCATAACAAAGGGTAGCCAGAGGGGCCCTTTCCACTTCACTGTTTGGTACTGAGAGCCCAGTGTTAGCAAGGAAGGAGGCTGGAAAAGAAAACCTTAGTGTGTACACATTCTTGAAATACATTGCATTGTGTCTGTTTTACTGATGAAAAACCCCATAGTTACAGAAATGGATAACATGGTCCTTTCCAGTAAGGAAAGCTAAATCAGATACCTTCTCAAAAGCATTATGAAATATCATAATAAAGCAAGAATTCCTCTAAACAATCCCAAAGATCACCTGAGTATGACAGGGCTATTCTAGAGGTAGGCTGAGGAAAAATAGGAAGCTGTAAGCAATGGCTGGCCAATAGCGCTAGCCCCAGATGCATGCAATCAATTTAATCCAATTTTAGCAGATTTTATTCATTCAGAAAATGTGTCCAGCTCCCTGTTGCTAGATATAATTAGCAGGCATTTCATTTTGGGTAGTACCTAGACTTATTTAAACATGGCTTCATAGTAAATGTCTAATTTGAACCTATAATTATATTTAGTAATTGAAACTGTTAGAAGATATATAAAAATTTCACTAATTTTTTTAAAATATTATTTCTTGGTAGACTGTATAGACATTTTAGATTCTTGTTTATTTATTTGTAGTCCTGGGATGAAATACAGGACCTTGTGTTTACTAGGCAGGTACTCTACCCCTGAGCTACTTCCCTAGCTGAACTAATCTATTGATCAATATTTTCCTTATAATGAATAATGTACCAATATAAATGTTTATTTGACTCGGACTTTATTAGGTTTAATGCTTCAGTGAGTATCACTGCTCAAATAAATCATGGTATATTTTGTTAATAAATTAAAATACAAAAGGGCAAGCTTATTTCAGATAACATTTTAACATTAACACATGGAGCTCTAAGAGACATGGAAAAAAGATATTTTTAGTTTTTCCTAAGGATAATCATGTTTTTGTTGTTAAGCATGGAGTAGCAAGAGATCAAAGAAGATCATCCAAGTCCGAGTATATTTGCCCAAAGATGGGGATAAGATGATTTATGAATTAATAGGCAAATTCAGTTTTCAGGGACTTAATTTTATGCCAGGAATCAACTGATGCCATGACCTTTTCTACGGTTTGTAGATTACTACTTAGATGTTTTCTGTTGACTGCTGGGTGAACTCTTACATGATCCTATCTTTGTACACATGTTTTCTGTGTGAGGGTCAAGGCTGCCATTTTAGGTCACCTGAGCAGACAGGTAGCATAAGAAAACAGAGCACATACAACAATTAGGCAGGCAGCCTGCAAAGTCATTCTAAGCCAAAGCTAGGGGACGAGCAGGAGCAAAGGGTGAGAGCATCCCGGGTTGCTGGTTGCTGCTGCACTTTCACCGATATTGCTGTTTTTGAATTGTTATGAATCTGGTACCTCGTATCAACATAAATGTTTAAAATGCATTCCTAAGCAAAAGTGGGATGCTTTTTGATATTTCATGTTGTAGTTTTTCAATTGTAGTACGGCAAACTGAGAAATGATTGTAAACTCAATCCCTTTGGAATATGAACGTGACACCTTTGTTTCCTGGCTTATTTAAAAAGATGAGGAGAAAGAAGGTGACACTTCGGGATCGTTCATTCAGGAGTAATGTATCATTACACAGCACTGTGAGGGATCCTGTGCTGTTTTTTTTTTTCAAATGTGAAACTGATATTTAGCTACCAAATAGTTTCTCAGCTATCAGAGTTTTCAGATCTGATACAGGCATCTAACACCAGCTCTTTTCTACTTTGCGGTCACATTTGTTGCCTCTGAAGAGCCCTCAACTGCCTGCCTAAATGATGGCTGATAGTCCACAGTGCTGCCTCCTTCCAGACTCAGAAAGATGTGGGGGCACCCAGGGATTCCAGGCTAGACCATACAATCCCTGAAGCCTATCTGTAGCCCCTCTCCAGTCACCCAGAGGGAGTGGAGTTCATGGTGACTCCTTCCTCTTAGTTCAGAAAGCAGCAGCTACCAGTTTAGGAAGCAACCATCTCCTCTGATTTTCTTTTAGCTGAATTTAGCATCCCTACTTCATTTTCAACCCTGACTCTCTTTCTGAGGAGGAATATAGATGCTTAGTCTTTAAACCCGAGGATCCCTATTCACTAAGGAACGAGCCTGACCTTTAGCTCTGCTCCTTTTTCAGCATGGCGAACTAAGTCTTCGAGCGATGGAAAAAATAACCCACCGTTATCAAAACCCTTGGTAAGTACATGTAAAGGTATTTCACCTTAGTTAATGGGTTTCCTTCCTAAGTTAGGGATAGCTTCTTTTCTCGTTTTGAAAAACACACTATCATTTTATTTTTATTGCTTCATATAGCTTTGTGTGGGAGGTAGAAATCACAAATTTTCATTTCTAAGGATCACAATAAATTTTACATTCTGCCAGTCTAATTAGGGAAAGAGACAGAGCAAAAGAACATGGTAAAGACAGTGCTAGACTGGAGTGGGGGAGACTGGAGCAGCAGCTGGGAAGGGTGGACACTGATGAACAGATTAGTTTCAACTTTGTAAGTAAGCTTTCTGTGGAGAAACTATATATACATATGTATGATGTATTTTAACACACACACACATTAGTAAAAAAGATCTCATTTCATTTCATGCTGTTGGCCTAGAAACCCCAATAATAGGTAGTCTTGGTTAATAAACATAATCTTACTGAAGTCACATAATGGCTCGAATTCATGTTGTCTTAAGGTAGCCGCTAACAAAAATTAAACATGTGTAGCTCTGGGTGTGTTAAATTACCAAGAAGAGAAAATACTGGGCTCTTGTGTAGATGGAACATAATCCAGATGCCTGGAGGAGAAGGTCAGACAAGACTAAAGGCATATTAGTGTAGGAGATGGGGGTGGGGCAGCGGCTGCTGCTTTTCTCCAGTTTTCATTCCTGAAAGATACAGTTATTAGTGTGTACAAAAGTATTGGATTTGGTCTCTTCTCCTAACGTAAAATAAATGACATAGGAAGAGACCTCAAGCCACTTGGGAGCTAAAAAGATGCCTCAGTAGTTACAAAGACCTCCTGCTCTTGTAGAGGACCTGGGTTTGGTCCCCAGTACCTGCATTGTGACTCATAACCATCTATAACTCCAGTTCCAGAAGATTTGATGAACTCTTCTGAAATCCATGGGCACCGGGTACACACATGGCACACATACATACATGCAGGCAAAACACTCACATGCATAAAACAGAATCAAGCAAATATTTTTAAAAGCTTGTCAGGTACTGTCCAGAAGATCTCCCTGGACAACATCTGTGACTTGTTAGTGACAGCCACTGCTCCTATGAACAGCCACATAGAAAGAGTTACACTGCATTGCATGAAAGGCATCCATTCTGCCTGAAAGATTCCATCCCTTTTGTTTGAAGAGCATTTCTTACATCGACTGTAAATACTCTATCAGCTTTTTCTCAGCAAAGAAAAGCACCAGAGAGAGGCTATTGGAAATTAAGGACACCTTTAACAACTGTTGATGGTAAAAGCATGAATGTGCTACTCTTTATATGTAAATACCTTCTTGGAAAGTATCTGAGAAACACCGAAGCTGTGAACATTTTCCCTAGAGAGAAAAGGTTACCTTTATTTCTAGGGACCATTCTATGCATTATACAAAGTCATAAGGATGCAAAATGTCTATGAAAAACCCTTGTACTTAGGGGACTGTGAATTGTTTGGACTCTGAGCAAACATTTAAGAAGGAAAATACCAAAATCAGTTTGCCTATGTGAACACTGACTTAGTTCTCTCTTTCTGTGACAAACTCCTGAGAGATAATCAACTTACTGAGAGAAAAGACTCATTCTGGCTCTAAGCTTTGAAGGTTCTAGTACATGATCAGTTAGCTTTGCTGCCTTTAGGCCAAGCTGTACATCATGGTAAAAATCTCGTACTAGAGCAAAGCCATTTACCCCATGAGAGATTCAACAAAGAACTAGGGTCCCAAGGTTCAGTTGGGCATATCCTCAATGACCAGACTTCTCACAAGATTCTAAGTATTATTTATTTTCTCTTCCTTCTTCTCCCCACCTCTTCTTCACTTTCTTCCTCTTCCCTCTCTTCTCCTCCCTCCTTTTCCCCCCTTTTAGGAATCCTAGAGACCAAGTTCAGGAGCTTAACCTTTGACCACACTTTATATCACTGAGCGATATATACTCCCAACCCCTTAGAAGTTCTGCCACCCCACAGACTGGGACCAAACCTTTAACATTTGGGTATTAGGGACCCATTCATTTCAAACCATAACAAATGCAAATAAGTAGGATCATAACCAGAAAATTATAGTTAGAGAAGGTGAAATTTCATTAAGTGTTGGTAGTTTCTAGATTCTTCTATGGCCTCCAGTAGATGTCCTAATTCTAACAAGTCAGACACAGGCGCCTAGGAGGATGTTTATGTCTTGTGATTCTAAACACTTGTTCTGCTTAGAAATCTTTCTGCCTGATTCATGAGTTGTCAAAATAGTATGGCTAGGGTACTACACTCCAGTGGTACAGAGATGTCCAACTCCCGTGGTTTTTTACTGATTGAGGACCTCTCTTTTCTGGGCTAGGTAGTATTCAGTCTCCCAACCAGTTTCCATGCTCTGTTCTTCTCAGACAGCAGCAGCACTCAAATTCAGTGCTTCTCCAGTTGAAAGTCTGGCTGCTTTACAATAGCAAACAAGTCAGGCTTGACGCACACAACTATATACAACTATACAACTATATGGCTTTTTTAAAAAAAATATGCAACATTCATGCCTTTTTTGGTGTATGTGTATATGTGAAGTACTGGGAAACTAACGTACATTTTAGTTTTCTTAAAATGATTTTTAAACCCTACTTTTTAATATATATATATATATTTGTGTGTGTGTGTGTTTTTTTTGCATGTTTATCTGTACACCATGTGCATGCCTGGTACCTGATGAGGCCAGAATCCTTCATCTGATATGGAACAGGAGTAACTGAAAATTGTGATCTGTTACCTAGGTGCTGGGAATTGAACCTGGGTCATTTTGAAGAGAAGCCAGTGTTCTTAACCACTGAGCCATCTCCCCCATCCCAGGCCATACTAGTTTAAGATCAGCCTGGGCTATCAAGTACCAAGTCAACAAAGGCTGACTAGCAAGACACTGTTTTTAAAGAAGCCAAGTAGGTTAGGGAAGGGGGGAAGTTACCATCCCGGGGTCAGGCATGCTGAAATATCAGCATCTAAGAAGTAGAGGGAGGATCAGGTGGTCGAGTTCACTCTTGGCTACATAGTTTGAGGGCTGTTTGGGCTAGAGGATAGGCTCTCTAAAAAACCATTGTATCTCATTCTGCTTCTTCTGGTTTTGTGAACCTGGCTAAGGCTTGAAGGAAGCAAACTGATAATCCTTTTGATAAAGTTCATGTTGGTTAATCCAAGCATGTTTGTTTTTTCTTCAGTTTTTCGAGACAGGGTTTCTCTGTATAGCCCTGGCTGTCCTGGAACTCCCTCTATAGACCAGGCTGGCCTTGAACTCAGAAATCCACCTGCCTCTGCCTCCCAAGTGCTGGGATTAAAGGCGTGTACCCCCACTGCCCAGCTCAAGTATACTTTTCAATACACTTGTCTCGTTACTTATCTCCTCTCATTCATAAGTGTATGGACAATTGTGAATTTAGTTTGTCATCGAGGTGATATTGAAAAGGTGAGTCTGAGTTCATCCTGGCACCAGAAGCTACTTGAGCCAGGCAGAAAAAAACACATCAAACTAGGATCTATGTCTGGGTCACAGAAAGTCCTGGGAGAGTGGGAAGACAAGGGATTAGACTTGCTGGAAACTTGTGAACCTGTTTGGAGAGTATGGATTTTAATCTAGGAACAAAGAGAGCTCACTGGGAGGGTTTAAGTCCAAAGGAACACGATCCATGTCCCTTTGCTAAGGTCAGTCTTAGAAAGTTGGAATGCTGTGTGGAGAATGGATGGTAGGTGACAGGAAGAGTTGTGACAAGATCGGCTAGGAGACATCTCATTTGTACAGACCTATCATGGGTCTTCAGATAAGCCGAAATAAGCTAAGCCTGATGTACAGCCTTTTTACTCTCTAGTTTCTCTTGCCAGTCAGATGTAAGCATTCTGGGCGTGGATGGACAGTGAGCACAGTCATGCCGTGTGAAGTTAGCGCTTTACTTTTTCTTCTAAATTAGAGAGCTTCTAGATATAGAGAGCTGGGACTCAGTTGAGCTTTTAGAGAAAATAGACTGTACAGACAAATGAAGAGGGGAGACAATGTCTCCAAAATTACTGCTAAGTACATACATGCCGTAAGTTCATAGAGTGATGTTAATGTTACCAGAAGGATGCTAGTGAAGAAACTGAATCATCAAGCTAATCTTTCAGACTAAGCTGACGGTTTCCATTGATCTAGACTGGGATTTGGGTGTTTTAAATAGATCTCCCTCTCTGCCTATGATAACCAGCCAGAACTAAGAGCCACAAGACTAGATGGGGAGAGAAGGGATGAAGCCTTTCGAGCTGGGTTTCTCACACAAGGGGCCAGATTCAATGAAAAACGTGAAGCAGGCAAGAAAGCCTTACATTGGGTCCCTTGAGAAGACAGGGTGATGGCAGGGAGTGAAGAATCTAAGAGGATTCTTCAGCATGCAACATCAGTAAACAGAAGCAAGGAAAACAACAACAGACAAACATCTGGATTATCTGTGACCGCAGAAAAAGTAGCACAGTAGCAGGATGATCTGAGTTAGTGTTCCTAGCACTGAATAATGTTTGCCCATTGGCATCCACTCTGCTTCTGAGACGAACTATTCAACAGAGAACATTGCAGGATTCCATCCATCCATGTGTAGGCATACTTTTAAGATGTTAGCTTACTTGAAGTCAGACTGTCGTGTAAATAATGTAGCATCCACAGATGCTGCCTCTTTTTCTTGAGAATGGAGAGCCGTGATAAATCAATGGTTTGTACAATCATGTTGTACAGAACAGTGAAGATGCATTTCAGCGGATCTGAAATGGTGGCCCTATGTGTGCCAGGTACTTGGAATCTAAGAGTTGCCATCAGGCTTTTTACTCTCTAGTTTCTCTTGCCCGTCAGATGTAAACATTCTGGGTGTGGATGGACAGCACAGTCATACCATGTGAAGTCAACTCTTTACTTTTTTCTTCTAAATTAAAGTAAGCACATCCCTGCTTTACGTAGCCCAGATTTCCCTAGCTAGGCCATTGGATG